CCTTTTGTCCTCTTCGATGGACCAGGACAACCCGGACATTGCTCATTTGTTTCCTGAACTGCACGATGATTCTGTTGACTGTCGAAAGCGGGATTCCCAAATTCTGCGAAATTTGCCGCTGACTTATTCCATCATCTGCTTGACCAACTATCCTTCCTCTAACAAAATCTGACAATTCGAGAGAACCTCGAGTTCTAGGCATGTTGTAGCATAAGATAATTAGTGTGCAGATCATTTTCATTTATATAGTGCTCTGTGAACACAAATTAGTTAGCATAAATCAGTTAAATGACGAAAAATTAGGTGTCTATTTACTTGTGACCACTCAGTGTACACTGGAGATAATGACACTCACTTGGGTACTGATTTGCATGTGTTTTGTGTTGTTAATGTTTCATCATTTTGATTCTCATATGCTTAGGCTTATCTATCCTTCCTATTCACATACAATAAAGAACAAATAAATGGGGAAGAGGCTGATGTAATTATTTCTGAACATATTTATTTAGATTGCAGAATAACAACAAATACAATAAAAGTCCAATAGGAAGTTTTGAAATTTACACACACCTTGGCCTTCTCTATAACATTGCTATATTCACCAATCCACAAAAACACTTTTGAGGGAGTGACTAAAACAAAGGTGTCACCATGGTTAATAGATCGAATGTTAGGTTCAACTAATCGTGTCTGAACATGTCTTCGGCCTGTACAGAAAGAAGTTATGAAAAATATATTTTCAGTAAGTGCAAAAAAATGTAATGTTTTGATTAATACATAATGCCATATTCATTCAAATATAAAGAAATTGTTCATTTTAGAATGGATATGAAAGTAGACTTGTATCAAAATCAAAGAACTGTAAATCACAAAATTTATGATATGAAATTTATGATGAAAATTACAGTAATTATTCAAACTTAAAGTTATTTATTTAGTTAGATAACTGAAAAATTAAAAGTACTAAGCTATCATGGTGTGATAACTTCCACTATTTACTTCTGAGATAGTGAATTTAAATTGTACACAAACCTTTTATCTGTACCAACATAGCATCCTTCTGAGGTACAATAGGACTTGCCTCACCAACAACACCCTTCTTCAGAGCTATAGCTTTAAAGTCTTCTGTACTAGCCAATCCTGCTAGTGCTGACAAAGCTTTATTGGATGTCTTAGCCACTAAGTGGAAAAAAAAAGGTTCATTATTTAATTTACAAACTTTAGTGTCACTGAGCATAACAATTTATCTTGAGACAAAACATTGCTCCACTTTTTTTTTTTTGGAAAAGGAGAGGATTTAAAATCTCTCTTGTTATTGTTTTCTTCTTCATCACCCAAGGTGAAATATAAGTCTTGTAAAATTTACATTTCTTAAAATAAAATCTTTTTTACTTTAAATGCTGAAGTTTCTACAAGTCATGCATCTCTGTACTAAGATCCTTAATGTAAGCCATCCATATGAGTATTTAAAACAATTATCCTATATGAACTTTCTTATTTTGCTGTTTTTACATTTTAGATATCTTATGCTCTTCTTTGATAAATTTTTAGACAACCATAATAGCAGCCAATAATTAAACAATTATACTCAATATTATAGGATCTTACAGGAGTGACTGTTAATAACTGAAAATCTCCTTCATATTTTGTTTTAGGCAATGATTATCCTATTATAATTATTTAACTTTTCCAGTACTTCACACTGAATATGCTATGTTTAGGTTATTCTGTTTACACTTTTTTCCAGAAATATACCAAACTATTTACAACTTCTGTCTCTGAGACGGTTGATATGTTTTTATCATGGTTTCCTTAATCTCTTACCCTGTTTCTGAGACAGTTTAAATAACTTTATTACAGTTTACTTACTTTGTTCCAATTTTATTCGCTTCATTTCTTGCTCTGCATAACCAGTTTTCACTTCTGTGTACTCATGCTGTAAATCCGTTCTCGAAGCAAGTGCCTTAATAGGATTTCGTGAAGCAACCCTTCGATGTTGTAGCTTAACTGACTTCCTTTGTGCTAATCTGTATAATAAAGTAAATCAGAATAATTCAGCTCACTGCTCTTATATCAAGTTGATGTTCATGAACTATTGTGATTACTTAAATTTTTCATAAAATATATCATACCTATACTAAAGAGTTCATGCTATAATAAACTGCTGAATTGTACTGAATTTTGCAAATTATTTAGTTTTTCTTGTAATCATAACCTTATGATTGAAGAGTTATGATGTTTAGTATCCACAGATGGTAAGATGAAAATTTAAATGATAAGGAGGTGAATTCTTACAAGTGGTGAGATTCAGACTGGGAAATGACACATTTAAAATCCTCATCTTTGATTTCTATTTTTTCCTCCACAGCTTTCTGTGCTGACACTGACTCAAAGAATGAGCTGAAAGTTTCGTTGTCTGCTTTTGGCACTAAAACCCTGACTGGCACTTCCTCCTCATCCTCAGAGCTTCTGCTACTAGATTCATCTTCTACAAGATACAAAAATCCTATTCAGTTTCTTTAATACAAAATCTATTTATACAAGTTTCTACAAACTAATCCTAATGTAAAATGTTGGTAATCTTTAGAACATTTGTTGCTCAGTATTCATGGGTAAAAAAACAAAAAAACAACATTCATCACATTCATGCAGGGTCCTGGTGAGGAGAGCTTTTAAATGTTGCAGTCTATTAAAAGTTACACAGCAGTACACAATTTTCGACAGCTTTGATTTATTCTAATTAACAATTTGAATTTGGATAATCTAGAGCCGACAGTTTTGGATAATATGCTCTGACAATGTTATTCATTTAATTATTATTATTTTTTATTCTTATAGACATTAATTATCTGCTTTAGTGTCTGTACCAAACTCCTACCTGATTCTACAGAACTAAAGAGTAACATGTTATAGTAACACATCTTAGATGTCAAGCTGCTCTAAAGTTACATTGTTGAATCCATTTAAAGGGACTTTTGTTGATCAAAAGGCATTTGATTATAATAAGCTATCATCAACCTCTTCAAGGAACATGAATCTACAATAGTGCATGAAACAAAATCATTAGTGTTTATGCATTCTGTAGGTATTATTCTTTCCGTATATGTTACTGTTTTGAACATTATTGGTTAGAATGCAAAATATACATTTTATTATTTTGTTTACTCTAATGATTATTTTGCATTGTTAGCTTAATATAAATATCCTAAGCTGGCCAAACCTTGAAAATATTATGGATACTACAGCTGAAAATATTGCTAACAGTGAGGGTAGCCAACTAATGAAACAATTCATTCTAATTCTTGAAAGTTTTAGACATTAGTACTGTAATAATTTTTATTTTTGGTATCAATGGTTATTACAAAGTAACTGACTAATTTTGGTGTTTTTTCTAATATTTCCATCGAAGAAATATTGTTCCCTCTAGAATGTGAAATGTAGCAACTCTGATATAAGAGAACACTGTAAAATCTTACATCTTTAAACTACTTACAATTCACATATGAACATTAATTAATGTTAAGCACACTTTTACAACTAAAGATAACATTAAGTTATATTTTAAATTATTATTTTTACTCTTACAGTTCTATAAAGCTCATATACACCAGTACTAACATAATGTTAATAAACTATGCCTATTGCTTGATACAACGTGTACAACTTACTTCAAAATTAACACTATACATGTTTGTGTATGTTTCTTTTAATTACAGAATTTGATTATAATGTGCACATTTTCTACATCTTACCAATGTAAGTAATAAATCTTACCTTATACATTATCTTTCCGTTATTTCAGACAATTAAAGAAATACTTACTTCCTATAGCATCAGGCATAGATTTGCTTTTTGTTATAGGAACAGGTGTAACTGAAAGAAACTGAAGGGAGTTATCTCTGACCTCCCCTATATTTGCTGAAAAACAACAACAAGCATCATGAGTTTTTTGTATTAGACAGGTACTTAAAAAACTCAAACCATATTAAAAAGAAAGTGGCTAGATGAATTAATATGATTTCATTTCATGAACACATAACCTATATTTACATTGGTTATGCTAAAGCATACAAGCTAGTTTAATATCATGTCATATAGTTCTTCAGTTTATAGATAAGTCACTAACTGTGATTCTAACGGCTCTCCAATAGATTTCTCTTATGCTTATAAACTAACAGGTATATTTCTTTAAGAATCATCATTGTATATGCAATATTTTACTATAATCATAAAAATTATTTTTTATAATTTCTTTTAAGTTTTAAAATGACAAAAAAGAATACCAAGAACTTAGTTTCAGCAATATCTGTATCAAAATAATTTTTTCTTATTTTCTTAATCACCACTTCTATGTCTATCATATCCCAGATAGACTGATAAGCCCTGGTGTTAGGCACAAGGCCTCACTGGCACTGGTAATGTGGTTGACATAACATACTTTCCTTTGCTTTCACTCATGGATTCTTAGAATTACTACATTTCAATATTTATAACCAAAGTTAGAAATGGAAACAAGTAGATTAAGGCTTATCATAGCATGTGCTTAATAGTGTATTGCTAAAGTTAGAAATGAAATCACAGGTCAAATTAGGTGTACCACAATTGTGTATTTAACCATCTTTTACAAAAGACACTGTCATATAATTGTGCTATTATGCTTTTGAGTATTCATGTCTAAACCTTAATTATTGAAATAAGTCTGGTTGAGAATAGTCATAACAAGAGGCCACTTATTATCTCTGGAGTCACGATATAATTCTTACCAGTTTTGCTCCTAAACTTAACAGGCTTTGGAGTTCGTTTCTTTCTGTCTGCTAAAGGACTTTCTTCAGGTTTTAGTGACTGTTTTCCCATTTTTCCAGCAACAGTAAATTTAGAAGCATCTTTTTCTTCAACTCTTTGACGCCACTCTGTTCCAGATTCTTCTAGAAGCAGCTTTCTGTTTTCAACCAAACTTCTTGGCCGTGGTTCCATGGATTTCTGTAAAATGTTAAAAACTGCAATTAAGATAACTTTAACTGGTTTGCTAAACATAGTAGTTATAATGTCTTTATTAAAATACAGATATAAATCAGAAACAGAAAATACTACAAACCCAGAAACAAATCATACTTTTACATAAACAGGGTATTCAATTTTTGATACACTGCCCTAGTGGTTCTCAGAAATAACAACCAATCTTCATTAAAGTGCTAATGAAATAGTGCAAAGACAATATAAGAAAAGTTTTGATACACATATTCATGACAAAAACTTTAATAGAAGATGATTTTCTTTAGCAAAACATTCTAGACATATGATTGGATAATCTACCTACCTATCTATCTATATAAATACTTTAAAGGTTTTTTCAATAACCAAGTGTTTTTGTAAAGTTTCTTAGCATTTTTGAACATCAATAAAATAGATACTATTGATCATATAGCAATAGATCTTTGTGAATAAGACAATGGGATACTTGAATCAGTGGTCATCAGAAGGTGCACAATGTGGCCACCATTCATATCAAAAATAGCTTGAATACTTGAGTTGACAAGATAAACAACTAATCAAAGCTGTTCAACATTTAACATGGTGACATCATGCTGTCAGATGATTCATTTGATTTTTGGCTATAGGAAAACCTAAAATGAGTTGCATATTACAGAAAACCTGCTACTGACAGACTTGTTCAGGACTCAACAATAACCTACACTCAGGCACTTCTGCTTCAGGCAGACCAGTAGCAATGGCAGAAGACTGTTATTTTAATTTGATTTCTGATGCTTCGTTTTTTTTTTTGAGCAAGTCTCAATAAAGACTCTCTAATTTTGCTGCATAATATAATTTATTTATATGTACTAATGACATGTGGAAGGAAAATATATTTGCTGACATTGCATTTCCAAAACATCACATTGACCATAACTACATTTTATATTCCTGATCTCTCAGCCATATACATAAAATTATTTTATTATGTGTTTCAAACAATATGATTGTCATTCATCTGAAATAAAGAAGCAATGTATGATTTCATCCTTTTTTGCCAATTTTCTCCTGCATTCCAAACAACCATGGCAAATGTTCAATGTTACTTTTTGAAACATTGAAATGAAACTTCTCAAATAAATTTTTATTTTAAAAATAAGTTCACCTTTATTATCTATAAAGATTATTACCAAGACTGTATCATATACCTACATAGCACATTTCATAGTAGACTTAATCTTAATTACATTTAAATCATTGAGACTTCATGTATATACCTCAAAGACAACAGCTTCAGAGCAATTGCAAGTAACTTTGGACATCCCAGATAAATAAGATGTTCCAAAGATACTTGTAGCTTCAAGATGCTGACCCATCATTTCAAGCCCTGGACCTAATAGATTACACCAGACAACAGGATGTAGCACCATCGATTTGTGTTTTCCATGGTCTCATTGGCATACCCACTATGAATTATTGATGTATGACGAATAGCATTCATTTTACTGACATTTGAACATGCCAAGAAATGTTTAAGAACACTATATTTAAATAATTCTTAAAAACCACCTCCCCTCCTTTAGTGATGAGCTAAAGGAGATAAAAAAGTTTGTTTTTTGCAGCAGTGCGATAAAGAAATAATTGTCCTTTAACAACCATCGAGTGGTCAGATCTTTCCAATTGTGATTTCTGTGATATTTGGCTAAAACATAATTAAAACAAATTTAAATTCACATCTTAAAATTCCTACCAAGACGTGTATTATATTTTTTCTATTTTTCACTGTATGGTGCATATAAGTAACAACTGAAAACAGCATTATTTTAAAGGTATTATTTTAAACTTTTTAACAAAAAGTATATTTAAAATGACACATCTGCATAAAAGCTAATTAATAAGACTTTGTATAATCAGAGTAAATGTGAAAATATTCTTGATTATCTTTCAGTGACTTGAAAGGCATCATTATCACCACCTTTAATTAGTTCTAAATGAGTTAACATTAGAATTATCTCATCTATAAATCTCAAACTGATCAAGAAACACACTAGTTTATCTCAAGGGTAGTAAGTAAAAAACATAAGTGATCAAAATTTAGTACAACTATATTACAGTTTGCTAGATATCCAGACTGGAAGAAAAAAACCATAAAATTACTTAAAAATACCTTTATGCTTCTCAATGAACCTTTACGGACTTATCCAATGAAAAATAAACAAAAAATGTTCCCCTCTAGGTCAGCAGTAAGCTTGAGGGTTTATAATGCTAAACTTTGAGGTATGATTTACTGAAGAGGACACAGCATGGTCAGCCCACTGTGTAGCCTTGCACTTAAAAAACAATAACAGAGACTTCACATACAAATTTCAGAAACAGGCTCCACAGACTAAAGTGGCACTCTCATTATAGTTCTAGACACCCAAGATATCCAGACACAGATCACATTGAACAACTTACAATGAATTGTTTAAACAACTATATTTGAACAACTTTTACCAAATCTCTGATATAGGACTTAAATTTTGAAGTAATAGAAATCCCACAATTTTCAACAAATCATCAACATGAAAGGTTACAGAAAAATGACCTTTAAACTCCAGATATTTATCATTATTAGTATAAAAGATTTTTTATTTTAACTAATGTTTCTCCTTTGCAGCTTCATCAGGGTTAGTACATGTATGTCACTTGTATGTACTAACCCTGATGAAGTTACAAAAGTGAAACTTTGGTTAAAATAAAAAGTTTTTTTTATAATTATCTGGTTAGGCTTCAGTTCTCATAATAATGAACATCCCAAAATTCTTACCAGACCACTCATATACCAGAACACAAATCTCTGCCAGACAAAATCCTTCAATACTTTCTGATGAGATGATATCAAATAACTAGAAACTTGAAGCTTTTCACATTAATAGAACTTCTACCTTTGTTACCAAATCAATGATGTACAAACAAACTACAAGTGTTAGAGAAACATAAAATCCTACATTCCATACTAACTCATTAATATAAGAACTCTTTAGTAATAGTAGCTGTAGTAGTAAAGAAACTAAAAAATAATCTGGAAGAAACACATAAGGTTGCATTAAATTAGGTACAAGATGTTCAATGAAAACGAAAAAACTGATCCCAGTACTAATACAGATACAGTTTTACTTTAGTTACAAGTTATTTATCAAGAATTTATTTATAGCTACCTACAAAGATCAGAACTAAAAATTGATTCATTAAATAATGTAGCCAATTTAGACTAATATACCTGCCTATAAAATAAGTTATCACCACATGTCCTCATTTACTTCCCAGTATTTAAATGAATTTCTTCCTAGCAATATTAACAATGGCAACACACAGTAGATTTACCTCTTCTCTCTTTTTCACTATAGTTGATGCTAACCCTTGAATTTCTTCTTCTGGTTTGTCAGTCTTGTTCTTCTCCAGGCGTTTCTTCCAGTTTTCTTCACCATTTCGTTTTAAAGCTGCTAACCTGTGAGGAATAGTAGTGTCTTGACATTTAAATCATATCCAAGCCTGCAAAATTATTATTCATTTCTCTTTTTGTAGAGGATAATACATTTTTCAGGTACTTAATCCTACAGCTTACATCTTTTAACATTTAGAATGTAGTTTTACAATTTTACAGAAACTTGAAAATAATGATGAAAGAAAAAAACAAAACAATCGCTTTCAAGTTGTAACCAAGTTTAGTACAGAAGGAAAAATTTGAAAAAAGGTAAGGGTAAGAGTTGAAAAAATATGTTTTACTGGAAATATGTATTTATCTGAATAGTAGTTCTCTACTTTCCAGTCAGAATAGAAAATAAAATGTTAAAATAATACTTTTTTTATGCACCTGATTTGGCTACTTGCCTTCAAACCATTTTCTTTAACATATTTAAAAGGTTTTTATTTAAATCTTTTTATGATGTATATGTGGCATCTTGGTATAGTAATGTATAGTAACTTTTAAAGCAAGACCACAATACTAGGAAGTTCTGAAATTCCTATGCACAGTTATAATTAAGTTTGACTTGACATGAAAGAAAGAAACTGAGACTCAAGGTATTTCTTTCAGAAACAAAAGCAGTACTTTTGTTTTTCACAAAACAGAAACATATTAGCATTTCAAAAACTATATGTCAAATGTGTCTTATGCTTTCCTCTATCTATTCAGAACAATTATTGTTAGACAGTCATTACAAAAGTATTCAACAACTTGTTGAACATGTCAGATAAAGACGTACCATATTTTTCGGTGTATAAGACACACTTTTTTACCCAAAAATTT